CAGCAATAGTACCTCACAGGTGATGTGGAAATCTATTGCAATAATCCTTTAATTATACTTTTTTTATCTCATTCTTTTCATTATGTTGTAATTATATATATATATATATATATGTATGTATGTATGTGTGTATAAAGCACATAAACATATATATTTTAAAGCGATTATTAAGGGAGGAAAAAATTATAATTGTAATAAAACACGAGGGTACGCTCCAGCTGACATCTTACGTAGCGACGGGCCTGAGCAATCCGCGATCGTCGCCTCGGCCGCTGAGCGCGGAGCGGTGCAAGGGGAACGGTGGGTGTCACCGCTTGAAATCCGGCCGAAAAGGGCACTTAGTCTCCAGTTCCGACATAGAGTATAGATGAGATCGCTAGTGATAGCAGAAATTTGCTGGCAATAATGAAATGGTACGATGTTGCTTGTAATGACAACGATTACAATGATAAGGACAGAATAGCGATGGAAGCAGAGAAAAAAACACAATTGGACAAGTTATACTTCTCTAGTTATTAATACAATTGTAACTGAACCCGGATTTTTGACAATGAAAATATCTCTTACAAAATAATTATTTATTTTGATTATCAAAAGTACAGTTATTAATAGTTTTTAATGATTTTATTAAAGAGCTTGTAGTGATTACAAGCATTTTATAGTTTAAATTTACAATGATTAAATATTTACAGAAAATTATGTAATTATAAAATTATTAATTTTTACAGAAAATTATTATAAAATTATATTATATAATATTACAGAAAATTAATAATAGTTAATAATAGTTAATAATAGTTAATAATAGTTAATAATAGTATAATAATAGTTAATAATAAATTACTATTGCTCAGTACATTTGTCACTAATGATTAATGATATTTAGTAGAGAAGATCAGGGCTAAAAGATCCCAAGGAAATGTTACTCGTGTGGTTTATTTATCAGAACATTTTGAAAATCACGAAATAATCTTTTGAAACATGGATACTTTTTTCTAAGTTTCATCCAGATTGGATTAATAATATAATTAAAAAATAGATATGATTAATTTACGAATAGCAAAATATATTTTTGAACATCTCAATATCTCGAAGTAATATTTTCCACTGCGATTAAATAAAATACATATTATTAGTTAGAATAAAGTTAAAATAAAGTTTAAAGTAAATTGATTAAAATCAAATATATGGATGGACAAAGTTGGTTCATATTTAAGGTTAGCCTAGCGGAACATTTAGTTCTAATAGTATTAGCTGTATTAGTTTTTGTACGAGCTGTTATTAGGTCATTAAGTATGAAATGTCTGATTTTGAATCAAAAATTTGGTTTATTATATTTCAGATCTCAAATAAAAAATAGTAAAATTAATTAAAGTATGCGCCTGAAGTATCGACATAGTTCTACCATCTTAACGGTAGCTTATTCATGCCAGCAGCGAAGAAGCCTGAAGAGCAAGTGACAATGAAATCGCGGAAGGCGCTTTCCACAGCTTGTTGAGAATTGAATTTTTTTTTCTTGCAAGAAGTGGTCCAGTGCCTGGAAGAAGTGGTAGTCAGTTGGTGCAAGGTCTGATGAATATGGTAGGTGGCAGAGAGTTTCCAAGTCCAGCTGCTCTAATTTGAGCAACGTTGTTGTGCGACAGTAGTAGAGCGTTGTCGTGCAAGAGGATTGGCCTGTCTCTATTGACCAATCTCGGCTGCTTAATCGCAAGCATCCTCATCATTTCGTCCAGTTGATTACAGTAGACATCCTCTGTAATCGATTGATCAGGTTTCATGAAGCTGTAGTGGACAATACCAGCGCTGGACCACCAAACAGATACCATTAGTTTTCTTTTGTGAATATTCGGTTTCGGACTGTGTTTCGGCATTTCATCTATATCCAACCATTGTGCCGAAAGCTTGCGATTGTCGAAAAGAATCCATTTTTATCACACGTAATAATACGATGTAAATATGGTTCGCCTTTATGTCGTGATAGTAAAGAAAGGCAAGCTTCGAGACGATTTCTCTTCTGACGCTCGTTTAATTTATGCGAAACCCATCTATCCAGCTTCTTTACCTTGCCGATTTGTTTCAAGCGATCTAATATCGTTGAAATAGTAACGTTAAACCTTGCTGCTAATTTACGCGTAGTTTGAGATGTATCCGCTTCCACTACAATTTTCAGCTCATCATTATTCACCTTGGTCTCAGGTCGCCCACATGGCTTATTTTCAACATTAAAATCGCCAGAACGAAACTTCTCAAACCATCGACGTATTGTGCGTTCATTACCCACATCCTCACCAAACACTTCGCTGATATTTCGAGTTGTCTGCGCTGCATTGGTTCCAGGATGGAACTCATTTTCGAAAATAACACGAATTTTTAAGTTATTCATGGTTCCGCTAAATAACATTAATCAAACATTCCCTTCATACGTTCCGCCTAAATGTTTAATACATATTAATTCGATATTCTCTTCAGGCTTCGATATTTACGTTAATATAAATAAAAACAAAAATCATTACATTTTGACTATCGGAAATATTTTATCGGATATTTTTCGGAAACACTATCGGATATTTTTCTAATTTCTCGAGGAAGATAGCAACAAAATATCTTATTTATTATGAAATAGTTATTTTAAATGTTAAAATATATTTTATGATGTAAATCATACATATTTACATATAGAGTGTACCAGAAAGATGACCCAAAGTGTATAAAAAAAAGTATCCCGAATTAACTAGAAGGGATAACGTTTTCGAAAAAAATATTAAATACAAAAGTTTTAGGATTTGAAAATGGGTACCTGATGAATTTGAACTTGACCTTTTTTCATCTCGATGGGGAAATCTTCATAGATACTTCCGCCCCTTGGAGGAGGGACGGGGGTTATGCCAGACTCTTGCCGGCTAAAACTCTATCGGGTTTACTAGACCGGGCCTTGGGTTAGAAGCTGGTAAGACTGCGCAAAACATTCTTTCACCAGTTCCTCGGCCTCGGGCTCGGTTACAAGCTCCCACCCTACTGTCGCGCCCTGAAGAAAGCGCGATCCCCGATCGAGCAGGCCGCCCACCCGGGTTGGCCACCTGGTGTTGTATTCAACACAGGGAGGGCACCCGCCCTCTCCTCCGACTCCTCTTGATGGACTGGAAGGGGGACGAAACCCAACCCCAACCGGGCTATCCCGCTCCTCCTGTGCGGATCATTCAAAGCGGGGCTAATTATCCCTATCCGCAGAGACTGAATCGCCCGTGCGGAGTGCGCGAGGAGACACAGTCTCTTCTCTGTCCGCGGACAACCTTGCGCCCCTCCACCTATACCGAACGCTTTAGGGCATAGGTCTAGTTAGGATGGGGGAGGGCGAGTCCCCCCTTGTAGCGGCCGCTACTCCCCTTCCAGTGTCGGCGAGTGGAGTCTGGTCTTGGGAGGACGAGGCCGCCTCCGGGAACTCAGAGGCAGTGACTCGTCCGGCGTCTCACCAAGGCCATCGCCATTCGGCGGGGAGCGCCTCTTGAGCCGCCTGGGCCTGCGACCAGGTTAGCACTCCCATTCGGCGACCCCTTTGCGGGAAATTACGTCCCCGGAAAAGGAGGCCGCCGCCGCCTAGACCTCATCTCTCCCAACTATGGCTCTGAAGGGCCGCGAGAGAGAGGTCTGGGTCTGGGCCACCCATTGACCAAGCAAGTTTACGGCGCTGCTGGGCCCACGTCAGACATGCGTCCAGCGTGTGCTGCGCCGTATCCTCGGGTGCCGGACAATGGTGGCACCGCGCCGTGGGCTCCTTCCAGATTCGGTGCAGATATCAGCCAAATCACCTATGACCGGTAAATATCTGCATCAGATGGAAGGACAGTCCGTGTTCTCCTGTCCATGAGGTATTCCTCCAAATAGGACCGGACGGCTTCGGTTGTCCAAGACCGGACACTCGCGGATTGGACAACATGTCCGACCACTTTGCGACTGTCTGGTCCCGAGCCTGGGACCGTAAGGCCGCCATGTCCCTGGCTGTGACCTCGAACTTTTCCCTTTGAAACTCCCTGACACACCAATAAACAGCGTGCCGCTCGGTAGCAAGGAGCTCGAGGAGTGGCAAGCCGGTTAGGGTGCTCGCTGCTGTATACGAGGTGATGCGAAACGCCCGAATCGCCCTTATAACCACTGACCGCAACGCCTGACGTAGCAGGCGGGTGTAACGGTCGGTGGCCGCCAACCTGGGCGCCTAGATAGCGCTCCGTAGAGAGCGGTCGAGCACACCACTCCGATGTAGGCGGCGAGCTCTCCACCCTAGTCCCCCTATATTGGCCATAAGATTGGCGAGAGCAAGATTCGTCTTCCGGACTTGGGGAACTAACCAGCGGAAGTAGGGCCCAAAGTCCCACTTGCCATCCAACATTAGGCCCAGATATTTCATCTGGAGCCTGGCGGGAACGCAGACGTTATCCACCCTCACCTGGGTCTCCGGTGGCGCTCCCCGACGGCTGTCTTAGAAGAAGGCCTCGGTCTTGTGAGCTGCCACCTAGAATTCCAGGCTCCGGATGGAGCCCACGACGCTGCAGAAGGCCATCTCCATACGGAGGCGGGCTTCCCCTCAGCTTTATCCCTCGGCCGCCACGAGAGTGTCGTCCGCATAGCAGACGACATGGTAGCCGGGGTAGGGAGAGGGCGGTAAGGAACACCCTGTCAAATGCGAGTTCCCATAGCAGGGGGCGAGAACCGACCCCCGTGGAACCCCGCAATGCATCACCCTGCGACCCTGGCCTCTGCCCTGTAAGGGAAAGGACAGGTCGCGGCTACAGAAGTAATCCAGCACTCGGCGGAGGTAGGCTCCGTGATACACGAGGGCGCGCTTTACCTCCGCCCAGGGGAGGAAGTTAAACGCATTGGTGATGTCCAGGGGCACTACCAGCATAACCCCCACGGGGCCCCCCACTTTGACCTCCACGGGGGCGCGAGTAAGCTCCCGGACGTGATGTAGTGTTCAGAATAGAGCAACCCGCGCGGAAGTTATACTAGTTTCCGTGAAGGTCCGGACCCTCCGTGGCCAGGTGTCGGACAAGGCGATTCGCAATGACCCTTTCCAGGAGCTTGCCCGCCTCATCCAGCAAATAGATCGGCCAATAGGCCGAGGTTGTGCCGAATGCCCTGCCCTCCTTCGGGAGGAGGACCAACTTGGGCCTCTTCCACGCTGGAAGGAAGATTCCTTCCCTGAGGCACGCCGTGAAGGCGTGCCTCATTGACACGGACAGACTTTCGTCGGCGAGAGCCAGCGCCCAGACTCGGCCAGAAATTTCATCCGGGCCCGGAACCTTGCCCTTGGCCCTAAGTTGCTTCCTGGCCTCGGCGACCTCCCATTCCTCGACCTGGAGCCCATCGTTCCAGCTCCCGTCCCTAAGTTCTGGGATGGGGATCTGAGGAAGTGCCTCCCCCACGTGAGGGAAGAGGGCATTCAGCACCCCCTCTATGACTGGTAAGTCGAGGATCTCTGTTGGCGGGTGAGTCGAGAGCCTCCGTTGGCGGGGGCGTCCACGGCCTGATCTTCCTGACCGTGCGCTTATATGGACGCTCTCACGGATCGGCGTCTAAGAAGTCCACCAGCGCCCGTTACACGCTAGCTTGGCCTTGCCGATGGCGACCTTGAAAGCGTTTCGCGCTTCACGGTAGCCCTCATTCGTCCTCGTGTATTCCCCGTGCGCTTGTGCTCGCCGAGCACGGGTGTGCAAGCACCACGCATGAATGGTAGCGCGCCGCAACTCGGCGATGTCTTCAGTCCACCAGTAGGCGGACCAACGCGCACGGGGTGGCCGAAACCTCGACATTGTGATGTCACAAGTGGACGCCACGATCTCTATCAGTTTTTCGGCCCCTTTTCGGGGTCCGAGGTCCCAACTGCCACCTAGCTCGGGTGGAAAGTGCCAGGTAGCTACAAGAACGGCCGCTTTGAATCTGTCCGCGTGAAGTTTACCGAGGACCTATTTCCTGAGAGGCATTTGTGCCCTCTGGCAGCAGCCCTACATCTACGACTGGTGAGGAGGCGCAGCAACCACAGAATATATCTGTGGTCGCTCAGGGACATAAGTTTGTGACCGAGTTTCGAAGGGGTTAATTTCTTGCTGACTGTCGATCAGTCAGTTCCTTCCAGTGGTCCCTCGAGTCTAGTTCGGTGCTATCGATAGGCCGCTTAATCCCCTCCTCTACCTCCTTCTTCATGGTTGCCAGTCGCTGGTATAGATAGGGCAGCGACACCCTCCTTTAGAACTCCTTTCAATCAACTCTTTTAGAAGGAGGGTGGGGGATGAATCCCTCCACCAATGTGGTATCCGAAGGTTGCACGTCCGGTCACTGAACCGTACGGTGATTATGGGCGTGTATACCCGTGTCAGTGGCTTTCGTAGGTTCGCTTTCCATAAAACCCCCAGTGAGCGGTGTTTAGAGGTTCAATGACACCAATCAATGGAACCCGAGGAAGGATTTTAACCAATCAGTAATTACCAACCAGTGACGTGAGTCAGGTGGTCTATGATTCCAGTGAAAGGGATCTGGTAAATATTTATTAATTTTTAATTACGCACCAGTGAGTGGTGCCAGATGGCTTTATTTATGCCAGTCAAAGGAGTCTAACAGAAAATTTTAGTTAATTTCTAATTACACACCAGTGAGTGGTGCTCGATAATTTAATTTACGCCAGTCAAAGGAGTCCAATGGAAAATATTATTATTAATTATAAAAGTGTTAACAACTTCTAAATGTTAACAACTTTTAAATTGACTGGGCTTTGTGGTGCCGAACGACATATAGGGATGAAATGAAACGTAAAATCCGTTAATGGAATAAAAATTAAACATTTATTATTGTTGATGTATATTGCGTTACTTGCTTGAAAATACATATATTATAGTATACCCGTTAGTCTATATGCCGCGCTAGACTCTGGCTCGAGGAACATAAACTATAGAATTGGCCGTGGAACTTTTCACTCTCGTGTTCATAAGATGGCGGCGGCCCGTTGAAATATGATATACCTTTGTTCTACGCTATTCCATCGACGCTACTTCATTGATTCTTACGGTAGAACAAGTTTACTAAATATACTTTCGCGTCGGGAGAGGGACAAGACGATCGAGGCACGAATTTACGTGATATTGCGGCGAAAATGATCATGCGGACAATTAAGATGACAGCTATGCTGGGCTTACCGACCGCCTAGTAGAGATACGTCTGCGACGTAACCCCTCCACCTGTCGGCGCCTCTAAACCACGCCCACCGGCGCCTGCGGATCGAGCGGAGGGAGCATGTTTTGACGGGCCATACCTCCCCATAGATAAAAACTAATCGACTTTTGAAATAAGCAAATTATGGCCGACATTATTAGGGAGCTGGCGATTCTGGCTCTTGACCAACTACTTAATTTGCATATTGCATTTGCGGAAAAACTCTACAAGCTCTGCTGGATTCGAACCTGGGACCTCTAGCTCTTGAGTCACGCGTCTTACTACTACGCTACTGCCATACCCTGATGGAAATTAGTTGTACAGGGTTTGTCAAAAGTGTGGAAATCCTTAAATAATTTTTGTAAAAATGAAAATATCAAAAAACGTATTTCGATTTTTCAAAAAAGCTACCCTATGACATGGATACCGCTCATTCCCCACCCCCTGGTACACGGGGGTAAAAGGGGAGCTGAGAATTTTAAATTGGAGTAAAGGTCGAGTGGGGGCTCATTTGAAAAGGTCTTTCCATAGCAAACACACCCTTAAAATTTTAAGTCGCTATGACCCCCCCCATTAAAAATGGCGGCCGTTCAAATTTCGAAATTTCATGCACTTAGTGTTATCCAGGATCAACTGCGTGGAAGTGGCATGAATCTGATCCCTTGTGTGTGTATGTGTGCGTGTGTGTGTGTGCGCGCCCGCGCGGGTGTGTGTGTGTGTGGGTGTGTGGGTGCATGCGTATGTGTGTGTGTGTGTGTGCATGCGTATATGTGTGCGTGCGTGTGGCTAAACAAGTGTGAATGTGTTGTATGTATTGTCGTGATAGGTTGCAAAACAGACGATTGAAAACTGTCATCTCTCTTTAATGATTCAAAACCTTTTGCTCCGTGTTTTAAAATAAATTTAATTCGGTGTGTTAAACTAAATGCCGAAAGTGGCTGCCATTTATTTCCTGACAATATGCCAATCTTTGATAAAATGCAGAAATGGCTCTACGATTCGTCTCAAAAGGTATCAAATCTATTTCATCCCTTATTCGCTGTATCAATTCTTGGACGCTTTCAAGTTTTGTTTTGTAAACCTTACTCTTCAGGTGTGCCCATTGATAATAATCAAGAGGAGTTAGATCTGGTGCCGAGGTGGCCAATCCTCTCCTCCCTCATTTCTGTTCCTTCTTCCTATCCATCGTAATAGAAAAGTCTCATTTAAAATTTGACGTGGCCCTAAACCAATATGAGCAGGAGCTCCATCATGCTGAAATCATATTTCTTCGAAATTATTTGGAAAAATATTTCGTATGGCTGGAACTATTTGATCTACAAGTAATCTGTCATACCTATGAGCGTTCAGATTTTCTTAAAAAAAAAACGGTCCTATTAAGTAGCCATCTATTATTCCACACCATTATTCATTTATTATTTGTGGATATCGTGTGTGAGTTTCCCGCACCCAATTCGAATTCTCATCTGACCAGAAACGGAAATTTTTATTATTAACTTCTCCCGTTAACGTGAAAGTTGCCTCGTCTGTAAACACAATTTGATAAGGGAACATGGGCCGGACATATATTAGTGCCATCATTCTTTCGCAGAAACCTATACGACGCTCCACATCTCCGTCTTGCAATTCTCGAACATATTGTAATTTGTATGGATGGAACTTGTTTTTCTTTAAAATTCTCCAAACGGACTTGGGAGCAATACCGTGAGTTTGAGCAGCTCTGTTAATAATAGAATTGGGACCTTCAATAAATGTCTACAGAACATCAAGTAATTTTTCTTTGATAATGGCAGGTTTCCCTGATTTAGGGCGATTGTTTACGCTACCAGTTTCTTTGAAACATTCCATTGCTTTTCAGACAGTGGACTCATTAATTCGACGATTCGGATACGACTCATTAAATAATTGAGCGACAGCAGCGTACGACCGCTCGTTATCACCCCATCCACGCATCATGAGGATAGTGATTCTTTCACGTTCCGACAATTCGCCAGCCATTTTTAAAACGTATAATTTTTAATCTGCCTAAGATCTATGAGAACTGATTTTAAGTAGCCGTGAGAACAACTGATTTTAAGTAGCCGTGAGAACAACTGATTTTAAATAGCTGTGAGAACAACTGATTTTAAGTAGCAGTGAGAACAACTGATTTTAAGTAGCCGCTTGATCCTGGATAACACTAAGTTCATGAAATTTCGAAATTTAAACGGCCGCCATTTTTAATGGTGGGGTCGTAGCGACTTAAAATTTCAAGGGTGTATTTGCTATGAAAAGACCATTCAAATGAGCCCCCACTCGACCCTTAGTCCAATTTAAACTTTTCAACCCCCTTTTACCCCCGCGTACCAGGGGGTGGGGAATGATCGGTATCCATGTCATAGGGTAGTGCTCCGTACGGCACGAGCTGCCGTGCGGAGGATCGGTTCGTGGATCGGCGCTGCGAGGCGGGCGGCCTAGCCCTCCAGGGTATTCTGGCGAGCGGCGAGGAGGCCGGTCTCTCGCGGACGAGCGCGTGGGGCTCCCGCCGGCGCCCCGCGCCTGATGGACAGTTCCGATCGTGGCCGCGACGCGGCGCGGCCCGCGATTCCGCTACCCGCAGGCAAGATTCGGCCGCCCGGCTATATAACCGGGCGCGCCGCGCCTTGTCTTTTGCCTTGTCTTCTGCCTGGCCAGTTTTGGGTAGCAAGTTGTGCTACGTTTTCGTACATCGTTGTACTGGTGATTACCGACGCGCTTCCTAGGGCGAGATCGGTCTTCCGTCTTAGATTCGAACCACTGCTCTAAACACTCTGCTGAGTTGAAGATGGCGCCGATACATCCTGCTGGGTTTGAGGCTAATGGTTCGAATCTCGTTTTGTGATCTCGTGCTCACGGCGTTGCCGTGATTTAGGAGCGACTCGACGACCGTCTCCTCGGAGCTTCAAGCTCCCTTGTTTCCCATGCGCCCGTCGGAGGCCTTGGCGATTTAGAAGCGGCTGGGTCGCTGTCCTAGAGCTTTCGCGCTCTTTCTTCCAAGTGTCCGTTGGGAACTTGGCTTTCTCGCAGGAGCGACTCGGTCGTCCTGCGAGCCAGAGCTCTCAGAGCTCATTTCCCACGTGTCCTCGGGACCCGTAGCTGGCTATTGGCCATTACGTTCGGAAGGGCAAGCCGTCCGAAACGACGGAGGTCGTTTCGTTACACGTACTTGACGTACTCCGGGTGCCGCGCATCGTTGACATCATAGACATGTGTCCTGCGGGACTTTGCGTAGGCGACGTTGTTCGCCTTATACATTGTTGCGTCGTTCTCCTGCGTTATTCCATTTACGTTTATACTGCGTTACTTCTGCGTCACTCTATTGCGTCTACTGCGTTCGTTGCGTTTTACATCGCGGGCGTCTCTGCATCGTTACGTGCGTTTCCTCCCCTCTCTCTCTCTCGCTTCGCCGCCGTCCCTGAGCGCGGTGCGTCGGCGCGCGGTGTTGCGCGTTTCGCAGGGTCTGTAGCCGCCTTCCGGGGCCCCAGACGTCAATCAGGACGACCGGTCGGTCGTTGAGCGAACTCGAGCGGCCTGGACGCAGGCGGACATCGCTCTGCGATCCAATCTTACCAGCCAGCTCTCCGGAGCTATCGTATGTTCGGTCTTGTTCCGAACAAGTAGCTTTATTGAAAAATCAAAATACATGTTTTACCGTTTTTCGATATTTTTATTTATACAAAAATTATTTAAAGATTTCTACACTTTTGACGAACACTCTATAGCCTACATACGGAAAGTTTGACATCACAGGTTTTGGAAAAACTCAGTAGGCTCTACTGGATTCGAACCAGAGAACCTCTGCCACTGGGGCTCTCGAGTCACGGCGTCTTACTACTACGTCACTGCTATACCCTGATGGAAACTAGTTATATACATAGCCTACATACGAAAAGTATCGACGTCACTGGTTTTGGAAAAACTCTGTAGGCCCTGCTGGGGATTCGAACCTGGGACCTCTGGCTCTTGAGTAACGCGTCCTA